TCTCTCTCTCTCTCTCTCTCTCTCTCTTTCTCAGATATAAGCTTTCAGCTACTGCTCCAGCATGATGCTGACTTGCCTATTGCTATGCTTCCTGCCATAATGGCCATGGGCTCTAACCCTCTGCAACTGTGAACCTAAATTAAATGCTTTCTTTCATGAGTTGTTTTGATCATGGTGCTTTGTTATGACAATAGAAAAGTAACTAAGAAACCAAGTCTTGGTGAAAAATTCAAACCTAGGACCATGCCTGTTTATCATTGTCTCTTCTCTGGTGGAAAGCTCTTGTTACAAGCCTCTTCTTGGGGAAGTGGGCAGAGTCTTCCCAGGCTGCACTGGGCAGGGTTTATCTGAGACTGAGAGGTTGTGAGAAAAATCTTTTCCAGAGCTGGAATTGCCCCTGAAGCTTCACTTTGGGTGAATTGAAATCTAAATCTCTGCTTATGGAGATGGGGCATATGTCATCTTCAGAAAGATACTTCCTGATTGTTTTTCTACACTCCAAAATGAATCCAATATGAGGCAACGGTTTCAAAAATAGAATTCGGGCTTCACTGCATTTTTACATAAAACTAACACTCTTATTGGGGAGAAAAATGGGAACTTTAAATACATCCTCATTTTTCCACTCTATATCAATAAAAAGGAGTTTTATCACTTAGCTTGGAAGCCTTCTAAAATTTCCTGAGACACGTAATGATTTTCACAATCTCAAGTATCCTTATTAAGGGATGAAAGAGAGCTGTTAGGGATGCCTCTATACCAAGGTGATGGAGTAAGGCTGGGAGGTCACCCACCTCACCTGGAAGGCCAACCCCACAGCACTGACTGCTCAGTGGACTAGGAACATTCTTTATAAACAAGGATATTGCCAACTGATAGTAGTGACGAGTGAGCAGACCTGGACACACTAAGACTGTGCTTCAAATATGATGTGGTAATTGTTGCCACCAAATTGACAGACAGTGTGGTGTTGCCCAGCATCCAGCAGTACCCAGTTCTAACTTCCCCCCTGCCTATGGCCTCAGCTCCCAAACCAAGACCAGAGAGTATATATCACAGACAGCCATAAGCAAGATTTGGAGATATTTAACTTGGAGCCACTGAAAGGTGTATGCTTCCATTCATTTAAAAACACAAATACAAGTAAAAGATGGTATGTTGCCTACCACTATGAGAAAATGACATTTTGAAAAATCTTAACAAACCTTTGCTGAAACACCCAAAACCTGCTAGCCAGCCCTATTTTCAACTTACCTACATGCAGCCTGTGGACGGTGAGTAAAGTATACTTAGCTGAAGAAATATTACACAAGTATTCCCCACTGTCTGAAGCACGAAGATCTTTCAAAGTCATGAATAAGGCACTGTTATCTGTCCGCTCTTTATTCCATGAATGTTGGTAATAGTTGTGTTCCGTGGAGGGCCCAGTTGCCAATACAGAGTATTTCCCATTCTCTACTTTGGACCAAGTAACATGGTAGTCTCGATCTGATGAAGAAAAATTGCTGCTGACTGCACACCAGAGTGAGATGGATTCTCTTTGATTCATCCTATGAATACCTAACAACAGAAACAAAAAGTAAACTATTGAAGACCTAAATGCTGAATGAATTTTTTCAATTACTCTTATGATTAGGAAGGAACGCAAGTGCTAATACTTATGTTCATGGGGAAAGCATTCTGATATTTGTGTTGTAGAGTGTCATACAAAAAAACAACAACAAAAAAAAGGCTGTCCCAATGCTAGGTTATGTTAGGCCTTCAGGTTGTTCTGGGATGGGGTCTTTCTGTGGGGAAAGCACCTGAATCCCAACTCTTCTAACCCGAAGAATCACTCTGGTGCATTGTATCTGCTGCTAAGCCCGGCAACCTGAGATCATTTCCCAGGATCCACATAGTAGAAGGACAGAACCAGCTCCCACAGATTATTGTCTGACTTCCACATGCACAATGTAGCATTCCGTTCCTCCAAATAAGTATGATAAAAATATTTTTAACCATCAATATTAAAAACCCAATAATAATAATAGTTAAACTTAGACTATCAAAGCAGATGCTGAGCCTGATGGCCAACTGTTGGGCAGAGTGAATGGAATTTTATGTAAGAAGTGGGAAATAGTAAGAGCTGGAGGGGACGGGAACTCCACAAGGAGAGCAACAGAACCAGAAAATTTGAACACAGGGAACTTCCCAGAGACTCATACTCCAACCTAGGACTATTCACGGAGATAACCTAGAACCCCTGCACAGATGTAGCCCATGGCAGTTCAGTGTCCAAGTGGGTTCCATAGTAATGGGAAGAGGGACTGCCTCTGACATAAACTGATTGGCCTGCTCTTTGATCACTTCCCCCTGAGGGGGGAGCAGCCTTACCAGGCCACAGAAGATGACAATACAGCCACTCCTGATGAGAACTGATAGACTAAGATCAGAAAGAAGGAGAGGAGGACCTCCCCTATCAGTGGACTTAGGAAGGGGCATGCATGCAGAAAGGGGAAGGAGGGTGGGATTGGGAGGGGAAGAGGGAGGGGTTTATGGGGGGATACAAAATGAATAAAGTGTAATTAATAAAAGTTAAATAAAAAATTAAAAAATAATAATAATAGTTAAACTTAGTAGATCTATTAACTGGAGAGAATCAGAAGTTGTGATCTTCTAAGAGACACCCATCCCTGTGCAGGTGGGAAATCCTATTTGGAGGAAGAACCCTAGAGAGATAGACAAACATTCATGAACAGATTTCCAGTGTTTTCATTCAGTGTATAAACACCTAGCAAGGTAGGAACTTCTATTTTATAAATGGGAACGGGTGCTCAAAACCAATGCAGCGAAATTATCCTTGCTGCAGATGGGTTTTCTTTCTTGTTTGTTTCTTTGGGGATCTATCCCAAATGCCTTCCAGTCTCTGACATAGCACCTGTACACAGAACATCCAATGGAGCCCACCTGCCAATGTCCACCTTCCTCTCCATGTTTGACTGAGAAGTGAATTTTTAATAGCACACTCAAAGGATGAATGTGATCCTGTAACGTTCAGTGTACTTTTAATATAAAATGGACCCGGATCCCCAGTTTTTTCAGAGCTGCTTTCAGAGACAGCTGCATTGTCCATTTTCCATGTGATATTGGATTGAGGATAAAGTCTCAGGATACTGCATTCCAGAAAGCTCCCTACGTTCCTCTTCTCATACCTCATTACAGGTGTTTGGAAAGCTGCGCAAGAGAAACAGAGGGTTATGAAGAACTGTGGTCATTAGCTTCCTTAACAGTACCTATGTAATAAAAGCTAAATTTATGAGCAAGATCTCTCCGTTGCTTAAAGAAAAACTAAATCCAAACAAAAACTGCAGAAGCTTAAGACTGGGTGTTGTTACCCAGGAATAATGGTAGGAATATGCATGGATACACAACAAATAACAATCTCTATTCTCTAGAAACTTATCTAACAAATTTAATGGCCTCACTGAGAAAGAAAATAAGGTCAAAATCTACAGAGTCCATACTCCTTAGCTACTGACTCAGCATATTTGAATTTTATTCTTTAACATACAATTCTGAGTCAAAATATAAAACAGTTAAATCAGTCAGAGGAAATTACACACACACACACTCATAATCCCTTGACACTATACATCAAAGATAATGTAATTTCTGTTCTGGCCCACTACAGTACAGTAAATAATGCAAACAGAATAAGTCATTTGATGTTTTTGATTTCCTAATGCGTATGAAAGTAGTTCTTCATTATATATAGTCACTTACGTATAAAATTGCTTATAATTACTTTGTTTCATTTGAAACAGGTTCTTTCCGTGGAGAATGGTCTGGCCTCAAGCCATGGATCCTACTTTTTCAGTCTCCCTAGTACTAGAGGTACAAGTATATGTCACCACACTACGCTCTGCAATAGCATTATGTCTTAAAAACTATGCTCGGCCATAACTGGGCTATGCATGCCACAACTCTCCTCTCAAGCTCAATGACCATTGTGGAAGAAGGGAGAGAAAGACTTTAAAAGCCTGAGGCTGGGGAGAACTGCAGCAAAACATTGTCTTCTGGACATTACAGAACAATTGCACTCACGAACTTAGAGCGGCTACGGTTGCCTGCACAAGGGCTGCAGAAGATCAAGCCAATCAGCATTCCAGAACAGGGAAGACAGGGCACAGAAGCCCCCATGCCTAGCTGAGGAGTTACTGAGACTGATACTGCTAGGGAAGGGATAGTTTTCTTTAGGAACATGATCCCTAGTAGGTTGACCACGCTCTAGTAGATGGCTTCATACCCGTACATATACAAGCACCACTAATCAGATTCAATGGGTTGTTTTAAATTTGTTTAAAAAATGAACATGTATTTGGAAAAGTAACAGATCCAAGAGAAGTTGGAAACAGGTAATGGGGATTAGACATGATCAAGATACAGTGTATACCTGTATAAATGAAAATAGTTATGTGTTCAAAATTATAAAATACAACTGCGCTAATAGTAAATTCATAATAGCAGTAAAATTGACAGGGAAATAAAGAGTATTGTCTAACATACTATGTTAGACCAGCATACTCATCATTAACATACCAACAACAATGTATCAACAAGAGTTCTTGTTAGTGTAATTAATTATAAATAGGCAATGAAATTATTTCTATTATTTTTAAGTTTTAATCAGATACCAGTTTAATTGAACAAAAACTTAACCATTCACAACCATGATACATTAATCATATAATATGGCAAGAGTTACATTGTAGTTACTACAGAGAAGATAAAATCACATAATATCAACAGTAACTTCATGTGTATTACAAAAAAGCAATTTAAATTTAATTCAGTATTTCTAGTCACCATGTTGGAATTTTCAAGACTGATGATATGCAGTGGTGACAAAACCACAAGGGAAATGAATGTTCTTATGTTGCTAATGTCATTGGAATATTAAAATCTTACTTCTTGTACTTTTATTTCAGATAATTTGTCATCAATTTATGTAACTATAAAGACATTCATCACAACAGAGTCTGTTCTGGAAAACACTGGAAGTCTGAACACCCACCAACAGGGAGAATGGTTATATTAATTATAATGTGTCCATACTATGAAATATTATGCATTGGGCACTGTCTATAATATTCTGTATTAAAATAATAATGTATATTTGTAGGAACTGACTTGAGAGGAAGAGCTTAGCCTATTAAATTCAGAAAAGGCTATTTCAGAATTATATCAAATTATATCATTACACCTTACTAAAATTTACATATACACTTACCCCCCACTTTCAGCTTCACCTCATTTGTTGTGGCTTGACTAATCGTTGTTGACACATAGCAACTATAATTTCCTTCATCCAGAAGGCTCAATCTTTTGACATTTAGAGAGGCATTCCCATTGTGAATTTCACTATGAAAGAGGGATGTCCTGTTTGCATATCTTAGATCCTGTGTTTCCAAATGATCCATGTCGTTGTAGTATGTATGAACATTTTTATCTTGATTTTTCCAGTGAATTACAATTTGAGGCCCATTCTTAAATGGACAAGGGAGGATTACATCTTCATCATATCTTCCAAGAATGAGTTGCTCATTATCACTAATGAGGTGACTGGAGAAGACTGGGAAGAAGAGGTCTAACAGTGGGAACAGAGACAAAAGGAAAAGAGTTAATGACAGGTGCTTGTCTGTGCTTCCGTCCGGACTGCCTGAGTGAACCTCCACTCAGAATAGCCTGATCACCACATCTTCAACATTGGAAACAAGCCCTGGCACTGTTGGAGTATCTTCCCCTTTAGCTAAATACCTAATTGAATCAAAGTAACAGTGAGATTGGCTCACTGTCCCCAAGACTTAAGCATATTAGTTTGTAACCCACGTGATCAATGGTCTGTCTCTCTCCAAATCACTGCTGCAGTACAGGAAAGAGTATGAAAGAGTTAACCTTTGATGGTTACTGTAATATTCATAGTTTGTGAAGCTACTGTAATAGTCATAATAAGTAGAGCCAGAATGTCCTAAACTGAGATGAAATTAACTTTGTTGAGTCAATAGTATATGTAGCATTTAAAAGACAATTCTGGGTTCAACAATCTCTTAGTATTCTAGAAGGTAGTCTCAGCCCAAGAGGACATGGGCAGAAGATCAAAGAGAGAAGTGAAGCAATATGTTGACTTTGGCTTTAGAATATGCATTAGTTAATTTTCATGAGAGAGAACACCTGATAAAAACAACCTAAGAAAGAACATGTTTATTTGAGATCATTGTTTCAGAGGGTTCAGTCCATCCCAGATGACTCTATGGCTTCTGGGTCTGGAGTGAGACACAACGTCCTAACGGTGGGAGCATCTGGCAGAGGAGAAAGAGAAAAGGAGAGGAAACAAAAGCAAGGTACAGCTCCCAAGGTTATCCACAATGACAACCTACTTCCACCAGCTAAGCCTGTACACAAAAACCATACTTTCAATAACAAGCAGCAGGCAGCTAGAAGCCACAGAGAGGTGTTAATAGCATCAAGAAGAAATAACTAGAGTAGCTTGAGTGAGAGAGTAAGCAAAGGTGTAGAGGAATTTTAATTCGGAACATGGCTGCTCTGGCAAAAGATCACATTCAAATATAGTCTAGGTCTATGCAATCTGGCTGGAATACAGACACACCTTTGATCCCAGGAGACAGAGGCAAGCAGATCTCTGAGTTCAAGGCCATCCTGGTATAAAGCAAGTCCCAAGAACAGAAAAACTTAGGTCCAGGTGTAGTAATACAGGCCATTAATGCCAGAACTCAGGAGACAGAGGCATTGCAGATCTCTGAGTGCTAGTGAGTTCTGTTCAGTCAGTTAAGTTGAGTCAGTGAGTTGAGAGGCAGTGCAGTGGATTTGAGTTCATGGCAGTTCAGTTCAAGGAATTCAGAGGTAGTTTTACTGAGAGTTTTCACAGAAAGAGGGTGAGTGAAAACAAGCTAGACACAGGTGATGACAGAATGAGCCAGAGAAGGAGAATGAGCTGGAAGATTAGAACAATTGCCAAAGTTAGTATAAGGCCAAGCAGAGCAATTTAGTCAGAAGCTGAGAGAAACCAGTTTGAATCAGTCATCTTAGAGAGGAGTTGCAGCCAGAACAGCTGAGTTAAACCAGCCAGCAAGAGTTCAGAAAGAACAAGCAAAGGTGAGCTTATTCAGCAGTAAGTCTCAGAGGCTGAAAATATCCTAGGCCGAAGTTAGATTGTATGGAGGCTAGAAGCTTCCAGGACTAGGCCTCGGATAGCAGATGGATGAAATTATATCCAGAGAATAAAAGATACTTTAGCACAAAGGTAACACCATCACATCATTGCTGGAGTTCCCAACTAAGAGTTTGTCCATTCATAAACTTCTGGATTCCTGTTCCTGCTGGAGGCAACTTTTATGTCATGGGATAAACAGTAATGTCAGAAAGGAATGGTTTGCCTTCTACCCATTCTTAAGAACACAATGTTTTATTTTGTTTTGTTTTAATGTATTTATCTGCTTGTTCCCCTCTGTAATCTCTGTTATGGAGATCCAAGTGGCCAGTCTGACTCAGGACAGGATTTTTAGAGGATGCATGCTAAAAACATGCTTGGGTCTTATATAAGGAGAGTCTCCACACTCTCAGAACCTGCTTTAAAAAAAATTAAGCAGCATAACTGTTAGGACTCAGGAAGTTCATATATCCAGAAGTCAGCTTACACTGGACTATAAAAGGATCTCTAGTAGTTAAATAAAGCCAGAATTCCTCAGGAACTTGTGAAAGCTGCCCCCATCTACCAAAAGGAGTCATTTTCCTTCCTTACCTCTGGCAGAACAGACATATGGCTCTCTATTGATATGTACCCATGGTTTCATATCAAAACCCATGCTGGTCCCTCAGTCCCTAATCACAACTACTTGGCATACATTTCAAAATCCATGCTAGCCTCCTGGACCCTACCTGTTCCCCTCACACACTCACACCCTGCCAACTCTACGAGCTACTCATTCTCATTATAACCCAGGCACTATTTCTATTCTCTCTCTTGCTATCTTCTTGTTCTCTTGCTGTCTCTTGTTATCTCACTCTCTTCGCTATTCTTTATTTTCGCTGTTCTCCCATCTTGCACAGACAGTCCTGGACATGTTTAGTCTACTTCCCTTTCTCCCTGATCTGGACTCCTCTGTATGTCTCTGGGTATTTTCTCTCTTTTACTCACAAGAAAAAACCTTTCTCTAAACCATACTATGGAGCAGCCCTTTCAGTGGTTTCTTTTCTGCATCTCTTCACATACATACATGACAATTTTCCAATATAATATGTGTTACAGTACCCACCTTCTAAGTTTCCAGAACCTCTCAAAATAACACCAGTATTTGGGAGCCAAATAGTCAACATATGAGGCTGTAAGGCGCAATTCACACTCACATCATAATAACAACACACTCACAATACCTTATCAGTCAGACAAAGGAGATTTGGAAAATATGAGTCTGAATATAAATGTAAAATTCTAATCCTCTTGATATATCGGATTATGTTGTTGTTTTATTGTGAACATAAGAAGATTTCAAAATTTGTAATAATTCAACACAAGTAAGGGTTTTGTAATAAAAACATGCTTAACCACATTATAGTATTGAAATCAATGTCTCCTTTTTTGACTAATGATAAAAAAATGTAAGTAGGTCCTATTTTCTTCTCTGAATTCTTAGACATTAAAATGAGAAAGAACATTCTATTATGGACATTAGAATAAATTCTTTTGGATTTTTGCCAGTGCTGCTTGAGACTGAACAATTGGGCACTGGCATGGCTCTGTTATCCCTTTTTCCTTTGCCTCTTCCTCTGTGGCTGTATCTCTCCTGCCATGCTTTATCTTTCACTCTTTCTCAGAGAGATTTAGAGTCTTGCTAGCAGATGAGAGAGATGTGGCATTATGTTAAGAAAAAATGTGGATTAATAGAGAAGAAAAGAAGTGACTGTTGATCTGATAACTGCTCCACCCTATTGTTTCACTGCAATAATCGACAAATGGGACCACAGGAAACCAAAAAGCTTCTGTACAGCAAAGGGCACAATCAGTTGAGTAAAAAGAGCCTGTAGAATGAAAAAAAAAAATCTGTGTAGAGGGTTGGTGTCTAGAATATACAAATAGCTCAAAACAAAACTAAACAGCAAGAAAATAAACTCTGAAATTTTAAAATGGGGCATGGAACTAAACATGGAGTTCTTAAAAGATGAAATACAAACTTCTTCTAAAATGAGAAAGTGTAAGAACTGTTCAGCATCTTTCACCATCAGAAAAATGCAAATTAAGATTGCTTTGAGAATCTGCTCTAGACAGAAAATGATGGCACGGATGCGGAGAAAGGGGAACATTTATCCCTCACTTCTAAGAATGTAGACTGATATAGCCATTTCGGAAATCAGTGAGGCAGTTCCTTGAAAAGCAAGAAACAGATCTACACTGTGCTCCAGCTCTACCACTTTTGCACAGATACTCAAAGGTCACGGTATCTTCCTACTTGTTCTTCAGCATTCATTGCTTCTCTAGTCACAATAGCCAGAAAATGGAAACAGCCTCGATGTCTATGCCCTGGTGACTGGGTAATGACAATTTGATGTATTTACATAATTGAATATTATTCAGCTAAACAAGCACAGCACTAAAATGACTTGTAGTCACATAGTGATCTATAATTATACATAGATCAGTCCATCACTCAATCCCCATCTTCAAGTCAGGTGAGCAATGAGGTGAGAAAGGTGGGTATGGGAGGAGGTGGAAGAGTGACTATGAACAAAGTACATTGTGTGAAATTCTCAAGGGATTAATAAAAATATTTAAAAAACAAATAAAACAATGAAAAAGAAAAGGCTCATTCAAGAATCTGTTAGGGTTATAGTCTTTTAAATGAATGCTTTATAAGCATCTATTTTTAGGTGATTTTTTTTTGTACATTCAATGAGGTATGTACTTGTGACTTTCTGCTATATAGCTGTGTATGTAAATCTTACATACTTTCAAAAGTTAAAGATTTTATATGTTTTGGATGTACAAAGTGACCTATAAAGGCTGTTTTTTGTTTGTTTGTTTGTTTCATATATTCAGATGCAGAGCCTGACATCTGGAGAATCTTGCTATTGAATCAACCCCTCTGTATGCCTTTGTCCTTAACAAATAACCTTTTTTTTTTTTTACCAGGACTGGCACACATATGGACTCACAGAGACAGTAGCAGCATGCACAAGACCTACAAAAGTCCAGGCTAGACAGTGTCCAAGTGCTGCATGGGGGAAGTGAACCTAGGTTCCCATCCCAAGCCAAGACTCTATCTGCAGATGACAAGTACTTCCAAAGGAAAAATTGGTTTTCTTCAATGGGTGAATTAACCACATTTAAGGGCAGGTCCCATAGCCAGCAGTAGATAGCCAACGCAAAGAGAGGTCAATGGTATTTTTGGAGATTTTTCTGTTTTTGTCTCATATTGCTTTGCTTGAACATTTTTTTTTAACCTTACTGGTTTTTCACTTGGGAATTGTGGTTCTGATTTTGTGTTTTCAATAGGTGTGTGTGTGTGTGTGTGTGTGTGTGTGTTTTACTCATTTATACGTTTTCTTTATTTTTTTAATTTGTTGTTATTCTTTTAATTATTAGCTCTTGTTTGTTTTTTCTGTTTGTTTTCTAAAGAGGGAGAGATAGAAAGAAAGCATGAAGTTGGATGGGCAGGGATGTGAGGAGGATCTGCGAGAAGATGAGGGAGGGGGAACATGATCAAAATTTATTGTATAAAAATTATTTTCAATAAAAAGGCTGTTTGCTGTTATATATTATAATATATTACATATGTGATATATATCATATATATTATACATTTACCAAAAATCTATTTGTATAACAGAACCATTCTCTGAATTTGTAAGAGGTCTAAAATTTTGATTTTTGCTACTGTGATAGTTCTATTACACAACTGAACCGAAGGGTCTGAATTTTATACCCATAGCACAAGCTGATTCAGTATGTACAGGGACTTTTGTGTAGTTCTGCTATGACGGTAATTATGGCTGACTCTTTTATTATCTGTGTGTGGTAAGCCTTCTAAGATCTGATGCTGATAAAAACAGTTTACCTATATGGCATTCTCTAAAGCGAAAATGTTAATGATGGCAAAAAAGAATGTTTATGATAGAACCTTGGAAATATGTCAAGCTTAGATACAAAACTTCCACTCTGACATCATATTGGTCAAATTCCCCTTTCTAGTGACTTTAATAGCAGATGATGTATTAGAAAGAGCTTTAAATAGAGCACACAAAAGCACACATGTTACACACATGACCTAATAGTAATTTTTACTTTTATATTTTGATATGTGTTTTCACAGGGACGTGTCACACGAGGCCATATGTGGAATATCCCAACTGTGGTGTCATGTCTGCACTCAAAATGTTTTATATTTTGGAGCAGTTTGGAAAAGGGAGGCACAATCTATAGCCAACTTATTTTTTGTGTTACTGTTAAACTCAGATCATACAAATAACTAACACCTTCATTATAAAAGCAATTACCGTGAGATCCACAAGGAAACAGGGTGACGAAGAAGAGATAGAACAGCGCCTGTGCCTTCATGTCTTGTGTAGGTCATGTTAACCGTGCTGGAGAAGAGAAGCAAAAATTGCATGTTACAAACTGTAACGCAAAAGACAGTTGAAAAGAACCACAGTGTCTGACTCCAGGAGGTTATGCTATAATGCAGTCACACAAATAATTTGTCGTAGCCATTACACACAATATTGTATAAGTTCGGTGGCATAGAAGCAATTCCTGCAGCATCGGAGAAAACCCAATTATAACACAACTTTAAATGCCATGCTTTAAATGCTGTTCTTGTTTGTTTGTTTGATTGTTTTTAATAACACACTTCTTTGCACACAGACACTAGCAGGATCCATCGCCAAATCTACACTATAATATTAATGCGAAAGAGTGGACTTACACTGGGAGCCGGCTGTGCTGTATGTTAGTCACTGATAAATGGCTGTTGAATGAATAGGGATTTGGCAGTGGTCCAACAGTGCCTCTCTAGACAATCGCTGTTATTTATAAAGCCTTCTACAGTGTGAATACATTGCCTTTATAGTAAAATATACTAAAAACCAAATTCAGTTCAATATTAAAAGCCAATGACAACTATGGCATTGTTTATAATCAGACATAAAAACAGCCACAACATGGCACCAACCTTAGTGCAAACCACAATGCTGCTATTAAAATGGAGCAAGGGCGGGAGTGTGATGGGGGAGAACTTATACAGTCTCTGGTTTGAATGAGAAATGTCTCCCAGGGTCTCAGGGGTTTGAACACTTGGTCCTGAGTTGGTGGTCCTATTTGGGAAGGTTTACTTGGTGTGGCCTTGCTAGAGAAAGGGGAAGTATGTCCCTGGGAAGGGTATGAACTCTGAGAGTTTATAGTCTGGTCCCATGACCACACCCCCTCAAACCCACCTACACCTTTGTTCCTGTAGTTAAAGATATGATCTCTCAGCTTCCTGCTCTTGCCACCATCCCTGTCACTTGCTGCCATGACTTCCCAACATGATGAGCACTTGTCCCTCTGGAACTGTAAGCCCAAGTGGTCTTTCTTCCACAAGTTACTTCTGATCTTTATATGTCGTCACGGCCACAGGCAAGCAACTAATACTTATCCACTTACCCACACACGACATCATTTCCCGTAAAATAGAACTGATTTCCTTGAATGATGAGATTACAGTTAATTTTTTTTCTTTGATAAAGTGTCTTTAAGAATAGCCTATAATTGGTCTTAAAATCATTACAAGATTTCAAGAATCATTTGGCAGTTCTACAATTGAGAGTGTGCTTTAAATGTGCCATAAGATATAAAATTTTAGAATGATTAGAAATATTCTAAAAAATTTAAATTAGACTCCTCCATCAAAACAAAATCCAGGAGTATGATAATTTATAGTTTCAATTTCACTTTTTAAATGCAAGAAGGAAATAATTGAATTTGTAACTTTTGCAGAGTTTTTTTTAACTTGACTCATTTTCTGATTTTGTATTAAAATGTGTTCATTTTTTGTTAAACTTGTTTGTTTTATTAAAATATATCTACATAATAATTAGAAGAGCAATAAATACAAAAAAGTTAAAATATAAACAAGGTTAACATTTACAAGACTAAGTTGATACTTATTAACTTCCATCCATTCAAAGGCAGAACTCAAACATTTAGTAAAGTGAAAACTTCTAAAAAATTGTATTAATTATTAAAATAAGCCATATTTCTTATTTCTTCTTAAAGGTATATGTGTAAGGTACTAATAAATACTATATCGCAATCTATAAATGGGAACATTAGTAACTAGAAAAGTCAATTTTTTAAGATTTATTTATTTTTATTTTATCTATATAAGTTTTTTACTTGTATGTATGTATGCTTACATGAAAATGCATCTACTTATTTCTAGCCTCATTAATTTTTAAAAGAATTCCCTAAGTAATTGTGTCCATTTTTCTCTTTCCCCTTAATCTACTAGAGGCTCTGTTTGCAGGCCATGTCAAAACTGGCCTTTGTCACTATCACCAATAACTTCTACATAATTTCATTTGCCATCTTATTCAGGCCCAGAGTACTGTCTGCACAGCTGATTGCTATTTCTGCCCAAAAGACGTTGCTCTGGCTTCAAGGTACAGTATTCCCTTACTTTTCTTTCTATTGGATCCCTTGGTCCTTTGGTGGCTCCTGTCTGCTTGTCCTGACTATATGGAAATAGGGAATGTTCCCAAGCTTTGTACTTTCTCTGCCTACGTCCTCTGTCTGTGAGTTCCTTTACTCTGTGGAACAGAATGCTCTCTGAACCATTGCTTCTGGAACATCTCCATCGAGCCACGGTCAATTAGCCTGTGCTTTTCTGCAGACATCACTAAGTCAGCATGAGACTTCAATGTGTATCTTTCCCACTTTTCATTGTTTTGCACTCCACTCTCGACAAAACTAAACAGTGTGGGTTATCGTGTGTTCCCTCAAGCATTCATCTCAGTAACTAACACAAAATTCTCCCAGTTAGTCTAAGTCAAAAACCAAGCTTGTTTCTTCCAGTTCCTCAAGCCCCGTATCAAGTCTATTGACATTTCTGCTGTCTACTTCTCTCCCATTCTGCTGTCATCATGCTGCTCCAAGGCGCTACTGTCTCTTGTGTGGAAATCTAAAAATGGACATCTGGATGATTATTCTTGCCTCCTTATAGTTCATCGTCAACACAACAGTCAAGAATCGTTGTTTTTAAAATATGTAAGTTGTTCTGTGATAGTATCCTAATTAAACCATGCAGTGGCTCTCCACGACCAAGAGTAAGACTTAATTTTTCACCCTGCATATTAAGCTCTCCATGCTCTGGCTCCTTCATCAGCCTCCCCCACAGTAGCCCATAATGTATATTCTCAAAGATCCATGGACACAAGTACTCCAGTCCAAGGGTCAGCATAAGCCTGAGCTGAAAATTTGGTCCTTGAGACAATTTAATTCGTGTATTTTGAATAAAATGACTAATTACAGTAACCTACTTATCATCTAACATAAAGTACCATGAATAAAGTACACAAAAGCTTGATTTAACACTATAGAAATAGTTTCAGCATTTAGCTAAGGGAGGCAGATAATGAGTGTTTAGCCTTATTTTTATGCCTCGGTTTTATTTTTAGCCATTTGTTTTTTTCCCCTCAAAGTAGCCAAAAGCCTCTACCTTGGATGAAACTGGTTGTCCAAGTTGCAATCAGCACACTTACAAAAGGGTTCAAATGTTAGAAGCGGCTTGTTCCAGTATACTCTGGCTAGATTCCAGATGTGAGGGAGAGAAAGCAGAAACCAGCCTCTGTAAAGAGCATGAGCAAAAGGAATCCAGATGCTAAAGGCAAGCAGAAAATGGAGAAAGCCAAAGGCTATTCCTACAATTGTGACACAAGGGCGAGGGAACGGTTAGCCCTGTGCTCATCCTAACAGATACAGACCAATGCCATAGGAGCTGTCAGCACCAAACGACAATGATGCCACAGACCAGCGTCTTGATCCTGTACATTATCAACATGAGGCTAACACTGGTTTCTGGCCAGCTGAAGCCACCGCCCAAGTCAAGGTCTCTGTTCTGAAAAGGAGCTGTATATCACACATCAGCGGCCCACTTCTACCTTCCGAGTTCCTTTGAGGAAAAGTAAATTCCAGGATGCTTCCTTCTCCTCTACATTTTTAAAAATTTCATTGTCTCTCCACAGGGTCCATGGCACTGAGCCAGTTTGTAAAAGAAATGGAAACAGAAGGAAAACTTGTAGCGTCCTGGGGATTTCTCCTTAGCATCTACTTAGATTTTAATAGCATTGACTTTGTTTAGACAGAATAAGAACAAAAGAATAGGGCTAGAGTTGCCTTCTCTTTATGCAAATATCTCCCCTGATGTTTTACAGCAAAACTCCACCACATAGGGGATTCATAGATTAAACTGAGAGTCTGAATCTCTAGGGGGTGCCATTAGTGCCTTAGGATCTATTGGTTAAGATTTCTGTTTTGTTTTGAAAAGCAGGCTAAGAGTCTGTGCTGATAAGTTCTGGGAGAGGAGAAGTGTGATTGTAGAACAACAAGAATGGAAAGCAGATACAAAATAATGGTTGCCTCGTTGCCAACCAGAAAAGCAAACAGCCAACTTGCTCAGCTGCAAGCTTTAAGAACTACAGTGCCTAGAATCCATCACTGAAATAACCCACTAGTCAAAATCTTCCTATGACTAAAGGAACTTCTACTTTCTTTCAGGTAGTACCTGATCTCTTGGAACAACCATTGAGGAAGCAAGATACTATAATATACTGTGTGGAATATTTTTTAAAATGTACATTTGTTTTTTTTTTAAGAGTGTGTGTGTGTGTGTGTGTGTGTGTGTGTGTGCGTGTGTGTGTGCACGTACAGAAGTACAGGGGTATACAGAGTCCAGGGGTGTTAGACTGACTTCCTTGGAGCTGTATAGGTGGTTCTGAGATGCCTGACATGTGTGCTGGGTATCAAACTCGGGTTTTGTGGAAGAACAGCAGTATGCATGCTTCACTGATGAGCCATCTCTCTAGCCCTACTATATGAAATCTTAACTTTAAGGCACTTTGCATTATTATGGAAGTGGTGATCACCATCTCTGGGAGTCAGGTCTAGCCTATAGCTGCTGCGGCTCCCAATATTGTGGGTCCAGTGAAACATCTGCTGAAAATGGTATTTCTAGGTGAGTCAAGGTCTTCAGGTGACATACAGAAACATGGCAGTTGAACTGAGACCTGCACTTTTTTTCTTGATCAACCTCCAACTAGTTAAGGGCCCAAAAGAGTTAATACCAAGTGTGGTTGGTAAATTGAATACAATAAAAACACCTAGTTTAAAAAAATCTGTCCTGTTTTTTGTTGTTGTTTGTTTGTTGGTTTAGGTTTTTTGTTGTTTCTTGTCATTTTGACATGAACTAGAGTAATTTGGGAAGAGGAACATCAGTTGAGAAAATCTACATCACTAATGATTTGTGGTGCATTTTATTAACTAATGATTGATGTAAGTTCACTGTGGGTAGAACTACCTGGGTGTGTTGTATAAGAAAGCAGGCTGAGCCTCAGCATCTGCTTTGATACCCTGCTGGGTGGAGTCTTTCAGAGGCCCTCTGTGGTAGGCTCCTGTCCTATTTCCTGTCTTCTCCAGCTTCTGATGTTTATCCCATTTGCCTTTCTGAATGAGGATTGATCATCTTACCCAGGGTCCTCCTTCTTGCTTAGCTTCTTTAGGTGTACAGATTTTAGTATGTTTACACTCATTTAGTATGATATATATTAGTATCCTTATATTCTATGTCTAATATCCACTTATAAGTTAGTATATACACCTCCCCCTAACGGGGAGGGGGGGCAGCCTTACCAAGCCACAGAGGAAGACAATGCAGCCAGTCCTGATAAGACCTGATAGGCTAGGGTCAGATGGAAGGGGAGGAGGACCTCCCCTATCAGTGGACTGGGGGAGGGGCATGGGAGGAAAAGAGTGAGGAAGGGAGGGAACGAAGGAGGGGACTACAGTTGGGATACAAAGTGAATAAACTGTAATAAAAATATATTTTTTAAAGCAGGCTGAGCAAGCCAGGGGGAGCAAGCCAGTAAGCAGTATCTTCTTTGGTTTCTGCCTCAGTTCCTGCCTCCAGGTTCCTGAGTTGGTTCCTTCATTTACAGTCAATAGACCATGACTAGATTTATAGAAGCCAACTAAACCCTCTCCTCCCCAATTTGCTTCCGGCCATGATATTTTATCACAGTAATAGAAACCCTAACTAGGACAGGTACTCATTTAGTTTCTGATCTTTTTCTAATTAGCAGGAAGTTAATGGTCTGCCCAGGTCCCTTAGAATTGCTTTAATCACTTTAGCTTTCATATGTGAATTATCCAGCGGCTACTGCCTGCTCAGTAACCTCAAAGTTCTTCAGAAGAAACTGACTGGATGGTGGAAGCAGTAAGCAGGGGAGGGTTTAATGCAAAACACCTTCTGCATTTCAGAGCTTTGCCTGCCTGAAAGCTGAGCCTTTACCTGAAGGCATGCCCTTGCTTAGCCGCTTTCTCTGCCTGACCTTCCCCTGCCCTCACTTCCTTAATGGGCACAGCTGGGATCACTAGCTCCTTGCTCACAGGTCCCCTCTCAGGTAAGATTAGTACACCGGAAGAAAAACTCGAGCTAAAGCTAGTGGATGGAAGACCATGGCCTGAGAGGATCCAGACATAGTTCTGTGCCTTCAAGGACCAGTTTCAGTTCTACTCATGCATTAAATACTGCTTTCGGGGGGAGAAAAATCAAGACCAATTATATAACCTTTCACAGTAGTGTTCTGTATAAGAAGGAATATGGTCAGACAGTGGGCTTTTGTTTTTATTTTCTGTTTTTTTTTTTTTTTTTTTTTTTGGATGCTGTAAAATCACAGGAAGAAAAAAACCGACAAAGGAAATCACCACAGGTAACAAAGTAGACAGCAGGCCTTGTCAAGCACATAAAAGCAGGAAACAATTGAAGAAGACTCCATTAGGAGAAGTGGTGAGCATGTGCAAATGTGAAGCCTAGGACTTCTTAAAAAGAGTAACTTCTCCCTCTTTGAAACGTATCAATAATGCCGATGGCACACTAAATGTGTGGGCAAAGTCAAGGTCTCATTTCTGTGCACTTCTGCTCTCTCGGGCTCATTGAATAATTTAACAGAACCGCATGTAGCAGAATTTTAATTCCATAGAAAGACAAGAACAAACAGCATTTCTGCAGCAAGGAAGCTGAATAAGATGCATGTTTCGGAAAGGCTAAATAAAAGCAGGTTATAAAAGGAAAAGAAATAAAAAAAAACTGCTTTCAGACAAAATGTAAGACTGATAATGGCAAAAGACAGAAAGCAAATTGTGGAATTCCAGAAGTGGCTAAAGTCTCTTGAAGGCAAAGATTCTGGGCCATATTCAAGGAGTCAGCATGGAAAATATGGGATATTACATTATAGACTTAGGTAGCACAAGAATGAAAACTCAGAAAAATATCAAGATCTGCCTTCTCCCTTCCCAGAAGCCACAGGTGGATTCCTATAAGTTTACAAAATTCGGAATTTAATTTGTATAACTTTTAGAAAATCAACTACCAGGCTTGATAATACAAATGTAAGGATTTCTTTTTTTTTTTTTACTATTAATTACACTTTATTCATTTTGTATTCCTCCATAAGCCCCTCCCTCCTCCCCTCCCCATCCCACCCTCCCCCCCCTTCCTCATGCATGCCCCTCCCCAAGTCCACTGATAGGGGAGGACCTCCTCCCCTTTCATTTGACCCTGTTTTATCAGGTATCTTCAGGGCTGGCTGCAAAGTCCTCCTCTGTGGCCTAACAGGACTGCTCCTCCCCTGGGGGGTGGGGGGAGGTCAAAGAGCTTGCCCTTGAGATCCTGTTAGAAATAGTCCTTGTTCCCCTTACTTTGGGAAACTACTTGGTTACTGAGCTACCACGGGCCAAATCCAAGCAGAAGTTCTAGGTTATATCCATAGATGGTCAAATGTAAGGATTTCAACTGAAGCAATGAACAGTCCTAAATCCTACATGAAGTATCACAGAGTAGGCTCAGCCGTATGTAGAGGGTGAGGAATTGGGCCACACTGACATAGATTGCTTCCTGCAATTATTTAGATTTATCACCTAATTCTAACAGTAGAGTTTCATCCTCTGCTGGTCAAAGGCATTACATATAAATACATCTCTGGAATGCCAGAGCCAGTGCACCTCAGTTCCCTGCGTGAATTTAGTCACTCCATTTTAACCTCGGTGTTTTCTCTTCAACAGGAAGCTCCTCCTTATAACTCCATATTGAGGTGTTGGTCTGGGTGAACTGTAACTGAACATCAAAATCAAAGACTTGGGGTGCAGAACAGGCTCAAACCAATCTAGAAAAGACTCACTCCTAGCTGTGTATGTGACTTGGAACTTCTATTCAGTGACGCCTTATGATAGACTACTTCCAGCGTGCCCTCCTGCCTATGTACACCTGGCTTAGTGACTTCCTGTCCTTAGGATTTAATGCTGCTGCTAACCTGACTACCTGGCACATAAGAAAAGAAAAACCACTGGCAGGGCTCTGTGAATCACTTCTAAAGTACAGTGGTTATAATGTTTGCTTTGTGCCAGCGAGATTTCTGCAGCACTCAGGGTCAATTCTGCCAAATAACTTTTGTTTATAAAGCTTTGTATCTGCAGCCCTGAATTGTACATACCACCACTTTTTTAGTTAGAGTCAGAAAATGTAGAGAGTCTAAGATACAAGATACTTCAAATTTATCTTGACCTCCTAAGAAACAGGACTCAGTTTTTGTCACACAGCAAATTTGACGTCTTTTGGATCAGTAAAAATTTATAAGCTGAACATCACCTACGGGTCATAAACTCTACCCGGATGAGCCAGATAGTTCTTAATCTCAAAAAGCTCAGTCTACTACCAAAAGACAGGTGGATTATGAAACAAATAAATCACAATGCAGAAACATGAGCAGCAGTAAGAGCTCTCAGGAGTTGCTATTAAACACTGGAGCCTGCTGGGGTAGGGTACTTAGAAAAGGCTTTCAAAGCATCAATTTCGAAGAACAAGGAAAAAAAAAAACGACCCAGAAGGAAGAACAGAGAAAAAAGAGTGAGGTTAGATATTCTAACAGAAAACAGAACAAAGCTACAAAAATGCAGCCGTATGGAAACATAAATCTTAAGTGATATGAGCAAGCAGCCACATGGAAGAGAAAACACTGGAAAGATGTAAAAGGGATATATCATGAACCTTCTTAGAATTCATACTAAGTACATAAGAGATAATGATAAAGTCAGGATTATATTTTAGAAAGGGTACACTAGTACAGCTTTAATGGTGGACAAAAGGAGCCAGCCTGTGACTAAGAATGCAACAGGAAACTACCCCAAAGCAACCTACTGGAGTGAAGGGGATAAACTGTGTAACAGCGATGTGAAATAACACCAGTACCATCACTCTTCTTCTATGCTAACAGAGTTCCTCTGCCAGGTCCTATGTAGGATGTGACCAATCCCAGCTGTGTGGAGAACTGCCATGTTCAGGAAAGGTAACTGAGATGGTCATAACTGGTTCAAGGTAGGACTGTGAGTCCTCCAAGGTTTGCAAAGGAGACTCCAAGCTGGTGCCCACACTGAAATGAACCTGCATCACTGGTGGTGCCCACACTGAAATGAACCTGCATCACTGGTGAGAGGTGCAAGCCATCTGGAAATTCTCAAGTTTCTTGAAAACTGGAAACCAGCTGGCTAACTGTATTTATATGACTCTTGACTGTAGGGCCATGACCACAATGTCTACATGCCCACCCGTTCCTACTTACAACTTTGAGTCTAGGAAATTAATTAAATACGGTGGAAAGTATGATCATTCTCTTGTGTTGCTCTGTCCCCCCGCCCCAATAAACTTCTGAAATCAATTTGAAGATCAACAACAGCCACTGTTGGAACAACGAGATAGAAAAGAGTTCTGTTAGGATGATGTCTACAGTTACCTGTTGCTTTGCTCCCTGTCTCTATTTTCTGTGCATTGATTTGGTGCCTGGAGCTGTAGTAGCCATATAATAGGTACAAGAGAATGAGTGAAATAGTTGAAAGTCAACAGGAGATGGATGAGATAGAATGATGAGAGGATCCAGGTTTTCTTAACTTCTGAGCCTGTCCTCCTACCTGTTCTGAATCCCTTGCCCCTAGATTGTTAATTAAGAAATACATTTAAATTACCTTAAAACGAGTCTTCAGATGTCTCCAGATATTTAGAAGTGACACCAAATTAAAATAATCAGTGGAAAAAAATAGCTGAAGTTTTTCTGCCACAGGAACCAGGCCTTGTATTTCTCTACATAACAAAGTACAGGGGGAAAAGCAATCTTTCCTTCTGTTTCTGAAAAATGCCGAAACAAGTCACATTAACTTTTACCAGAGTAAAGAGGCATTCAAGTGCTTGATAATAGCACAAATAACAGTTAATTTGAAGCTGCAAACATTAGATATGAGCCATTGGAATTTTATAGCTAGTTGAATGCACCTTATATTGTATATAGAAGGTTTCTAGCAGAAAAAGCACATTTACCTTAAAATTCCCATTTCCTTTTAGTATCAACATTAAAAAGGAAAATACTGGTTTTCAGCTGAAGCATCATTTTACAAACATGAGAGATGTCTGCTCCACAAGAAAAGAAGTTGGCTGCCTATTTGACTCTCCAGGAAATCTTGTTATTTCATTCAAAGACAAAAGAACAAAAACAAAACAACAACAACAACAAAAACCCCACCAATGAGTAAATTCTTGTTTTCAAGGGGATTATACAATAGCCTATAAAGCAGTATGGTAACTACAAAGTAAAAACTGAGAAATAATGAATCTGACACTTTACAATCCAACTATTTGTACTTCAATGTCATAAACAGTGTTAAATTAGTTAACTGTTGAATCAGCTGAAACTTTAGAAGGGGCAATATAAAGCTTTAATTTGGTATATACGTTTTCACTTTTAGAAAAATCTAAATTTCCCTCATTTTGGCATGCAGATATGTTCATTAATTCAAATTAAGTTTACCAGTGCACCTATCCACCCAAACTCTGTCTGGTTCCATTCAGTTCTGTAACTAGAGATGCTATGGACTTTTCTGGACTCAGTAAAGATGTTGCAGATTCAGACAAGGCAGTGTGAGAGAAGAGAGATCAATAAATGGTGAATAGTTGATGGGACGAGAGGTTTTATGATTCAGACATCTTTGCCTGCACTTAGCCACGTGTTGACAGTGAGATCCAGGCCTAGCATGATTTACTACTGAAAAATGGTCCTTTCCCTTGTGGTGGCTTCCACTCTCAGTATTCAAAGGTCATCTGCCACCTGCTTCAAACAATATAAAATCTCCCGAAAATGTTTCCTGTATCTTCTCCATCTGATACCATCTCTCCATATACCTTCCTGTTTTCCAACAAGGATTCTCACTTGGAGGCTCTTTCCTATGTGTACAAACATGCAGTAGAATGCTCCTTGGTCCCGTTGTTCCTTCTGCGTGTCACCCTTATTTCTAACCGCCTTTATCTTCTGAGCTTTATCTGGAATGACACCCTGTTTCTGGAGAAGCTAACAGGAAATGACCTCGTTTGCAGAGATATCAATGAATCCACACTATTCCACTGACCCAGAGCAACAGACTGGCCCATGTATCCAACTCCAGTCACTACAGTGTTACCCGGTAGAGCCCCTCGGTACCATGCTATTGCAACTAGAGATTCTGCCTGACGTTCTACGGTACTTCAAAGCAGCCTGGTGACTTTGGCCAGGAACCACTCCAAGAGTTGATTGACTCATCTTCTTTGGACATCTTGGTTCATCAAGGAGCTGAATGTGCTATCCTGAGATATTTAGCCTACCTAGGCCCCGAGAATTATTCTACTGTGAAGATGGCATTATGAATGATACTGCCAAAATACAGAGGAACATTAAGGGCTATTATGAAGTTTCCATATCAACAAATTTGAAATTTTAAATGAAATAACTTTCTGAGCACACATATCCACCAAAATTGTACTATGGAGATATTTAAAAACTTGAGTAGGCCAATAACAAGTTATAAAATCAAATCAGTAATAAAATGTATCCGCAAAAAGAAAAACCTGAGACTAGATATTTTCACTGGTAAATTTTGTGAAACTATTAAAGAAAAATAAACACTAATTTTTATTTTCTTTTTTTTAATTTTTATTTTTCTTATTAGTTACATTTTGTTAACTCTGTGTACCAGCTGTATCCCGCTCCCTCATTCCCTCCCCAACCCCACACCTCCCTGCCCCTTTCCAAGTCCACTGATAGGTGAGGACCTCCTCCCCTTTCATTTGACCCTGTTTTATCAGGTATCTTCAGGGCTGGCTGCAAAGTCCTCCTCTGTGGCCTAACAGGACTGCTCCTCCCCTGGGGCGGGTGGGGATGTCAAAGAGCCTGCCCTTGAGATCCTGTTAGAAATAGTCCTTGTTCTCCTTACTTTGGAAAACTACTTGGTTACTAAGCTACCACTGGCCACATCCGAGCAGAAGTTCTAGGTTATATCCATAGATGATCCTTGGTTGAGTGTCAGTCTCAGAAAAGACCCTGTGCCCGGATATATTTGGTCCTTGTGGAGCTCCTATCCTTTCTATATCATATTAACTCCCCTTCTTTCATATGATTCCCTGCACTCTGCCATGGTTTGGTTATGAGTCTTAGTGTATGCTTTGAAACACTGCTAGGTAGAGTGTTTCAGATGCCTTTTGTGGTAGACTCCTGTCATACGTTCAATGCACATCCCATTTGTCTTTCTAAATGAGGATTGATCATCTTACCCCATGTCCGCTCTCTTGATTATCTTTTTTATGTGTATAGATTTCATTATGTTTATCATATCTTGTAGGTCTATATAAGCAAGTATATACCATGTTTGTCTTTCTCCTTCTGGGATATTTCACTCAGAATGATCTTTTCTAGATCCCACCATTTGAATGCAAATTTCATGATTTCCTCCTTTTTGAATGCTGAGTAGTATTCCATTGTGTAAAAATACCACAATTTCTGTATCCATTCCTCCAATGATGGACATCTGGGTTGTTTCCAGGTTCTGGCTATTACAAATAAAGCTGCTACAAACATGGTTGAACAAATGTCCTTGTTGTGTACTTGAGCAAATTTTGGGTATATACCTAAGAGTGGTATAGCTGGTAGCTTGAGGTAGCACTACTCCTAATTGTCTGAGAAAGTGCCAGATTGATTTCCAAAGTCATTGTACCAGTTTACATTCCCACCAGCAATGGAGGAGGGTTCCCCTTTCTCCACAACCTCTCCAGCATGTGTTGTCACTTGAGTTTTTCATCTTGGCCATTCTGATGGGTGTGAGATGAAATCTCAGGGTCGTTTTGATTTGCATTTCCCTAATGGATAATGAGGTTGAGCATTTCTTTAAGTGTTTCTCTGCCATTCGATGTTCCTCTATCGAGAATTCTCTGTTTAGCTCCGTTTCCCATTTTTTAATTGGATTACTTGGTTTGTTGCTTTTCTGCTTCTTTAGTTCTTTATATATACTGGATATTAGCCCTCTATCAGATAAAGGGTTGGTGAAGATTCTTTCCCAATCTGTAGGCAGTTGTTTTGTTTTGATGACAGTGTCCTTTGCTTTACAGAAGCTTTTCAGTTTCATGAGGTCCCATTTATTGATTGTTGCTCTTAGAGCCTGTGCTGTTGGTGTTCTGTTCAGGAAGTTGTCACCTGTGCCAATGAGTTCTACCCTGTTTCCCACTTTTTTTTCCAACTGATTTAGAGTATCTGGTTTTATGTTGAGGTCCTTGATCCCCTTCAACTTTAGTTTTGTGCAGGGTGATAAATATGGATCTATTTTCATTTATCCGCATGTAGACATCCAGTTGGTCCAGCACCATTTGTTGAACATGCTGTCTTTTTTCCATTGAATGGATTTGACTTTTTTGTCAAAAATTGAGTATTCATAGGTGTGTGGGTTTATTTCTGGGTCTTCTATTTGGTTCCATTGATCCTCCTTTCTGTTTCTATGCCAATACCATGCAGTTTTTATTACTGTTGCCCTGTAGTACAGCTTGAGATCGGGGATAGAGATACCTCCAGATGATCTGTTGTTGTACAGGATCGTTTTGGAGATTCTGGGTTTTTTGTTTCTCCATATGAAGATGAGAATCTTTTTTTCAAGGTCTGTAAAGAATTGAGTTGGTATTTTGATGGGAATTGCATTGAATCTGTAGATTGCTTTTGGCAGGATGGCCATTTTCACAATGTTAATCCTACCAATCCATGAGCACGGGAGATCTTTCCATCTTCTGAGATCTTCTTCAATTTCTTTCTTCAGAGACTTGAAGTTTTTCTCAAACAGGTCTTTCACTTGCTTGGTTAGAGTCACACCAAGGTATTTTATGTTATTAGTGGCTATTGTGAAGGGTGTTGTTTCCCTAATTTCTTTCTCAGCCTTTTTGTCTTTGGTATACAGGCGGGCTTCTGATTTTTTTGAGTTGATTTTGTATCCTGCCACTTTGCTGAAGGTGTTTATCAGTTGAAGGAGTTCTCTGGTTGAATTTTTGGGGTCGCTCATGTATACTATCATATCATCTGCAAATAGTGACACTTTGACCTCTTCCTTTCCGATTTGTATCCCCTTGATCTCCTTTAGTTGTCTTATTGCTCTGGCTAGGACTTCAAGTACTATGTTGAAGAGATATGGAGACAATGGGCAGCCTTGTCTTGTACCTGATTTCAGTGGGATTGATTTAAGTTTCTCTCCATTGAGTTTGATGTTGGCTATAGGCTTGCTGTATATTGCCTTTACTATCATTAGGTAACACTAATTTTTAAACTATTCCCAAAAATGTTGAAAAAAAAAAGAATTCTCTTAAACTCGTGCAGTAAAGCCACCGTTACCTTGATAATAAAACTAAATAAGAATAAGGATAACACCAAATGTATAAAACTCTCAAAAACAGCATCCCCAATAAATACAGATTTTAAAATTTCCAACTAAAGACTAATACACAAAAAGACCGTGTGTCACAATCAAGGAGGATTTATTACAGGGATATAAGGATGGTTCACTATATGTAAATCAATAGATACCACACGTGACTTCAATAAAACAAAAGTCAAAAAGCATACAATCATTTTAATACACACAAGATGTAGTATTCTATAAACTCCAACATCCTGTCCTGATAAGCACACTCAATGAATTATGTGTGAAAGAAATGAACCTTGATTAAAAAAAAAAAGCTATATGGGAAACCCTTAGCCAATTGGTGATATCTGTGATATCATCTGTGATCTGCAACAAGTTATGTATGCCCACTCTCACCATTTTATCAGTGTAGTACTAGAAGCCTTAGCC